TGCAGAGCTGAAGCTGCTGGGAGGTAAATTCAGACCTTTTACAGAATGAAACTTCCCTCCAGCAGCTGAGCCAGGGCTTTGCTCTGGCAGGACAAACCCCCCAGCTCCGAGGGCACGGAGTTTCCCGGCATCCCCCAGGACTGTGTGTCTCTGTCATGCACCAGATGGGATCTTTTTGATTACTTCTTGGCAGATGACAAATCAAGGTCAAGGGATAGATGTTCCCCTTCAGCACAGCAAGGCCAAGAGCTCAGGAAAACCTTAGGGTTTTCAGCAACAAAGGATGTGCTGAAAAGACCACATGGTTTTCCCTCGAGCACGGTGAAACTCCTCACCAGGAAAGAGCTGCTCAGCCTCTTTCCATGAGCCAGTCCAAGCCCATCACACCTATTCACTCCTCCAGGAACAGCTTGGGGTCACAGCGAGTTCCAGTTCCATGGCAGAGACAGCATGGCACTGACACTGCTCCTCCCTGGGGCACAGAGCCTCCCCAGCCCCAGCCTGGGACACAGCACTGGGGTACAATTCTATCTTGGGGTCACCTCTAAAGCCCTGGGAGTGTAAGACAGGCAGGTGACAGATGGCTGGAGGCAGGGGATCACGGGGACTCGGCCACCCCGCAGCAGCCACCTCTCCGCCTGCCAACCGGGGCTTAGAAACCTCCGGAAAAGCTAACACGGGGAAGAGGGAGCAGCGCTGAGAGGGGCAGGGGCAAGGGGCAGAGCAGGGGGAGGGAAGTGGCTGTTTGTGACTCAGAGCAGAGGACTCTGCGGGAGTGCCCTCCCCGGAGAGCTGCGGGGCTCGGGGAGGCCGGGCATCCATCTGTGTGCGGGAGGTGGCTGAAGCCATCTCCAAAGCCCTCAGACCAGAGGAGGTCACTGAGCTCCGAGTGAGCAACTGTCACTCCACACCCCTGAAATCCATAAGCAGCCTGGAAACCTAAAGCCTGTCATTAGGAATGATAAAAACAGTAATTAGAGCCGGGCTGTCATGAGTTCACACCTGGAACATCAATACGAGGCGTTTACCCAGCAGCAGGAGAGCACTTCCCCCCAAATCCATCCTCTGCGGGTGCACTGGGAACAAAGCTCCACGGACCACTCTGCACACAGGCGTAAGTAAATCCTGCAGGGAGCCTTGCAAACAGAGGTTATTCACCACAACAGCAGCTCCCAGCTTTGAGGGATCCAAAAATGCTGCTGCTGTGGAGGCACAGGAGCTACATCTTCTCCTGGGCCATGGGCTCTGCCTGTCCTGATCCCAGTCCTGGTGCTTCACTGGGACTCAGCTGGGTGCTCAGTGGGCTGCACCAAGGAGTTAAACCTTCAACACAAGCAGATGTGGGGGCAAACAAGCTGTGCCAAGGAGTTAGACCTTCAAAACAATGCAGATTTGAACATGAAAGCACTGTTCCGTGAACTTAGCCTTAATTACATCTTGTAGAGCTCTGAGCAGCCACCACACTATAAGGCAGGTGAAAACCCACACTTTTATTTCTTTATGGTATCACAGGTGGAACAGCTTAAGTTGGAGTGTCCTTAACAACAATAACAACAGCAGAGAAATACAAGGATGGTTGAAAGTAGCTTTATTTAGTAAAACAGTCTGTACAGAGCCAGGGAGGTTCCTGCTGCAGTATAGCAGCTGTACTCCTCACTGCCTTCCCAAATGGCTGCTTGGTCTGCCAAACCCATTTCTCTTCAAAATGTTAATAGATGACATTAATTAAAACATGAGCCAAGCTTAAAGGAAAGGTTTTTCTAATCAAAGCTCTTCTCAAGTTTTATTCTCTTGGCCTCTGCGATGTTGGCACCTGACTGGTCATCAGGGTTTACCCTGTACCAGCCATAAATCACACCTTGTTTCATCTATTAGAGATAGATTGCCATCCCTCCATCCTGTGAGGAGCTGAATCAGCAGGGAACTGCACCCACAGAAGCACAGCCCAGGAATTTTTGACTTCAGGATTGTCATGATGGTTCCTTCCCTCACAACACAGCTGCTGAAGGACTGAGGTGAGTTTGGTCACCCACAGGTTGCTGGAGCAGGTGAGGGGCTGGCACAGGTGCCATCTCCAGTGCCAGGGAGCAGTTCCAGAGCAAGGAGTGGAGGGTCAGGAGCTCTGTCCCCAAAGTCAGTGTCCTTTTAGCTCGCTGGGACAGACAGAAATAGGCCTGAAGGCACATTCCCCAAGCGGCCTAATTTCCCTGCCCTCACACAATGTTCTCTTTCCTCCTCAGCACCAGGGTATTTGTTTTATTTTAGGATTTAAGAGCTTACAACCTTTATCAAAGGACAAAGGTGCTCGACAATTGACTGTAATTTTTTTTGTCTTAAGTATTGCAATTAAGGAGCAAAAGCCAGCCCAGGGTAACAAAGCCAGGCAGGTTAAACATCCCCATCACACAAGTCTCACCCAGAAAACCAGCAGAACAGTCCCCAAGGAAATAATCCTCCCATTCCTGCTGTCAGCTTTCCTTCTCTAAGTACTTGAAAGTTCCTCCCTGAACCAGGCTGTTGTGTTCAAACAGAAAAAGGTCAGGGTGACACAGAAAGGGTTTAACTTCCTCCCCAGCACTGGATCTCTGACCTGGGTGACATTCAAGAAAGCAGTTACAGACAACTATATTTAGGAAATGAAAACATGTATTTCCCCTCTCCTCTGCTCACAGGCCAACACTCACCTGCAGTGTTTGCAGGGAGCTGTGACAAGAAGCTTAATGGAAAGGAAGCCAAAAAAAACCCCAACCCCTTTCTTTTCACTGGTTTAGTAGGTCTTACAGAGGAAGAAGATGGGTAGAGATAAAAAGACTAAGCCTAAGTGGAACACAGGACCAGCTTAACAGGCTCAGAATAAACCTCTCTCCTGCTGTTATTTAACAGCAGAGCCGGACACGTGCTCCTGAGCCACTCCTTCCTGCTGAGCCCAGCACAGGATTTCTCTTCCTGGGGGGCTGTGGCACCCCCAGCACACGAGACCTGTCCCTCAGGCTGCCAAGTGTGTGACCCCCAGTGGCCTGCACGTGCCAAAAGAGAGATCCCGGTTACAGCCCCGCTCCTGGCACAGGGGCTTGAAAACCAGCAATATTCCACATGAGGTCGCGGGCAGAGCTGCTGCCTCCAGGCTTCCCCATCCTGGCAACCAAAACAACACGTGGTGATGGTGACACAGCTCTGCCACCCACACCAGGGCTGGGACCTGCTCCATGGGTGGACGGGATTCCTCCCTGGAATTCGGCTGCCGTGGTGACACAGAGGTGTACCTGGGTGTGGTTCAGGGCACAGACACGCAGCAGAACGGGGGAATGGTTTGGGCTGGATGAACCTCCAAGCTCAGCTCATCCCACCCCTGGCCACTGTCCCAGGTGCTCCAAGCCCTGTCCAGCCTGGCCTTGGCACTGCCAGGGATCCAGGGGCAGCCACAGCTGCTCTGGGCACCTGTGCCAGGGCCTGCCCACCTTCCCAGGGAAGGATTCCTTCCTGATCTCCACCCGTGACCAATGGGTCCCAGCCTGTCACCAATCACCACCGTGTCAACCAGAGCAGAGCAGTGCCACGTCCAGTCCAGTTGTTCCTTGAACACTCCAGGAGAATGAAGGAATGACTGACATTATCCAGCAGGAATGACCTGTTTAGGAGATGCTTAACACGGTGTTTTTAGGAGGCACCACCCTGTACATAACTGCACAAAACATTTTGGTGTTGTGTGATCGCCACTTGCAAGGACTGGAGAAAAGAGACCCAAAACCTGGCGTGGTCAGGAGCCAGCAGCTGTCCCTGCCCTGTCCCTGTGCTCTCCAGGGGATCCCCCTGTCCCTGTGCTCTCCAGGGGGATCCCCTTGTCCCTGTCCCTGTGCTCTCCAGGGCAATTCCTCTGTCCCTGTGCTCTGCAGGGGATCCCTCTGTCCCTGTCCTCTGCAGGGGATCCCCCTGTCCCTGTCCCGTCCAGAGGATGTCCCTGTCCTCTCCAGGGGATCCCCCTGTCCCTGTCCTCTCCAGGGGATCCCCCTGTCCCTGTCCTCTCCAGGGGGTCCTCCTGTCCCTGTCCTCTCCAGGGGATCCCCCTGTCCCTGTGCTCTGCAGGGGATCCCTCTGTCCCTGTCCCTGTGCTCTCCAGGGGATCCCTCTGTCCCTGTCCTGTCCAGAGGATGTCCCTGTCCTCTCCAGGGGGTCCCCCTGTCCCTGTCCCTGTCCTCTCCAGGGGATCCCCCTGTCCCTGTGCTCTCAGGGGATCCCCTGGGCTGGCACAGCAGCCAGTGTCCCCCTCCAGGGCAGTTGTGTCACCCTCACTGTCCTGCTGGGCAGCGACTCCGCACGCCACGGCACACACGGCACCGGGAGCTTTCAGGAGGATGCGCTGGAGGAGCGGGGCCCGGGCCGGGACCGAGCGCTGCTGGGTCTGTGTGCCGCGGGGACAGCGGCGGAACCCCCCGACGCGTCTCCCAAGCCGGCGCCGTGTCCCAACACCGATTTGCGGGTACGCCGGTGCTCCAAGTGCCAACACCGGCAGCACCGAGCACCGCCCGGTGCCACTGCCAGCCGGGGAGTGCCCGCTCCGGTGATCCCGCAATGCCGGGGTAGCGCGGCGGGCTTAGCTCAGCCCGCAGGCCCCTGGGGGGTCTATCCCGGTCCCGATCCTAGTCCCGGAGCTCGGCACATCCCTGCGGGCCGGTTCCGGTGTCGCTCCCCGTTCGGGTCCCGGGCCCCTCCCGCCCCCTGCAGGCCCCGCCCCGGAAGCGCTGCCCGGCGCGCGCGGCCAATGGGCGGCGGCGCCGCCGGGACACGTCGCGCGCCGCCGCGCTCCCGTCACCCCCCGCGCGCCGCCGGGGTGGGAAGGGCGGGGGGGGGGGGGCCCCCGGCCCCCCCCAAACCCCGCCCTGCACCGCCGGGGTGGGAAGGGGGGGGGGGGGTACCACGGCTCCTCCCCCCACCCCGGAGCGCCGCGCCCGCCAATGAGCGGCGCCGTCTCATCGGGCCAATGAGCGGCGCTGTCTCAGCGGCGCGCGGGGGATGGAGCGCGCGGCCCGGAGCCGCCACGGCGCGCGCCCCCCGCGCTAGGGCCGGACCCCGGGACCCCCGCAGGGACCCCCCAAAACCGCCCCGAAACCCCCCCGCAGCCCCCCCTCTATGCGGCGGGGCCGGCCGAGCCGCAGGCCTCGCTCCGCCGCGGGGCTGCCCTTGGCCCGCTGAGCGCCGAGCACCGGTAAGCGCCGGGGGGCGAGGGGAGGAAGCGCCGCAGCGCGGGTGGGAAGAGGACGTTGGGATTTTGGGGGGGCGGCGAAGGAGGTGAGGGGCTCTTTGGGGGCGACGGGGAGGGGGTGCCGAGAGAGGAAGGATGGCGTGGGGGGGTGGCTCGGAGGGGCCGCAGAGCGAGCCCGGGGCTGGTCGGTGTTTTGGGGTGCGCAGGCTCCTGGGGAGCCGTGGGAGGAACTGGGAGCTCCGCGTCGAGCCCGCGGCACGGGCACCCCCCGCCCTCCGGACCCCGCTTTTTTTGGGGTGGGGATGTTTTTTTCGCAGGGATGCGGGGAGGTGGGGGGGAAATGCGTTTTGGGGTGAGCTCTGCGCTAGGAGGAACAATACCAAAAGTTGTCTGAAATGGTAATTTCCGTTTCCCATTTCATCATCCCCGGGTAGGCGTTAGCCCTGCCTGTGTGTGCGCAGGGCCGGGGCCGCACCGAGCCCAGCCGGCCCCAGCCCCGCGGCTTTTATTTATTTCCCAGTTTAATCTTTAAATCGCTCCGCGTTTCTGCCCTCCGAGGAGCCTTTGTGTGCCGGGGAGGGGCTGCTCGACACCTTTGCCCCTTAGCAGAAAGGAAGAGGGGGGGGGGAAAAAAAAAAAAAAAAAAAAAAGCCCAAACAGCTGCAGCCCAGGACGAGCCTCCCCCAGGCCGGGGATGGATTCGTGTTTAGAAAGGCAAATGACCTCGGAGGGAGCCGGGATGAGCCGAGCCCTCGGTGCCCTCTGCCCTTTCCCAGGGGGAGCAGCTGTCCGGGGTGTGCGGCTCAGAACGGGCCCTTCATTGAGGCACAGGGGCCGGGTGTTTACGGCTTGGCTTCTCCTCCGGGCTTGGGGATCTGTTTTGATATCCAGTTGCAGGAAAGGGTTCCTCCCCCCTCCTGGTTTTGTACACAAAGTGCTCTCTCACCGCTGGGGACACGGCTCTATAGGCAGAGAGCGAATTCCAGGCAGCTCTTGAAGCAAAATTCCCTCCTGAGATGGCTTCTGAAATGGGGTACACGCATCATTTTTACCCTCTCTGTAGGCAAAGGTTTTTAGGTGAAAACATCTGCCTTGTAGTGGCTGTGTGCTTTCCTGAAATTTATATAAATTTAAGGAACTTGGAGTTCAGTGTATTTCTGCTTTCTTTGTTTTGTTCATAAAATGGAACATTTTTATGTAATGACTCCAATTATTTCCTTTTTCTGTGGGGGGAAAACCACTCCACGGAGTCATGGAGAGGCAAAAGGAGATTAACTCTCACATGTTTCCCAACAGCACCGATACATTCTTTGTGTGTGCCCTACCAGGAGCTCAATATTTAACTCGATTAGCCTAAAAACGGGAAAAGTTGGCGTTTCCACTGGATTTTCTGGCAGATTCCAGGCTGGAGCAGTCTGAGGTGGCTGCGGAGGGCTTTGGAACGTGCTGCGGCCGGGAAACTCTGCCTGCTGTGGCAGGGAAGCTCGGTCCCGGAGCTCCGTGACCCGTTTTGTGTCGGTGGCAAGCGCGGGGTCTGCCCGGGCGGGGCGGCCCGGGGCTCCGCGCGGGGCTCGGCCGCCGCTCCCAGCGCCGCTCCGGGAGAGCTCGCTGTGGGACCTGCCGGGGCACATCCAGCCTGGAGAAGGGCTTTGCTGTGAACCCGTCCGGCGAGCCGGGGCTTGTGGCACCGCGGGCTGTCTGAGTCAGTGCGAGGGCTCGCTTTGCCAAACTCGCGGCGAGCAGCGCGCCGGGCTCGGAAAGCACGGCGAGCCCTCCGTTCCCAAGGCTTTTTTGCCTCATTCCGGGTGTCAGTAGTGACCGAGGAGCCCCGGCCATGTCGGTGCTGGCTGCTGCCACTGGCTGGAAACCGGAGATGTTGTGTTTCGTGTTCCACACTTGGTTCTGCTGTTCAGTTCTGCTTCTGCTTTTAGAAATGAACTCTTGTCTGTTTCTCCATTTCATAAAAAAAGCATGGTTCAGAGCGAGCTGATTTTTTTTTTTTTTTCCTATGGGCAGCTTTTTGCTTTTATGATGTTGCAACAGCATTTTCTCAGACTTAAACCTGCATATTGTCCAGTTTGAGGGCTGGGTTTGGATGGGGGAGGAAATGTTAAAGAAAAGCCCCAGAGCAAAACCCCTTTGGCTTAATTTCTTCCTTCGTGTGTGGTAGGCAACCTGATAAGATTATTTTATTTTCCACTCGTGTTTTAATGGACTAAGTCCCCCCAAATGCTTGTGAACAAAGCCAAGCGTAGCACGGCGTCGTGCCGCGTTCTTCCGCTGCTCAGCAGAGCAGACAAATGCATTTCTCTGGGGTCAGTGAGACTCGTCGTGTTAATCAATACTGTACCAGCAGTGCTCCCTTTCCAGGGAACCAGATGGGCTACTTACAACTGGTGCTGATTATTTTAACTGTGTAATTGTAACATGGCTGCGTGATGACAGTGTTTCCTGCAGACACTTCAAAGGAAGGTTCCCGACGAGTGTGTCTTTACAGCGTTTAATCTGTCCTCTTTGTCTTTATGTTGTGGCTTTTGGACATGTGTTTGAAGTACTAAGAGGTTTTTTTTCCCTTACCTCCAGCTTTTCTGTACATTAAAAGGAGGCAGTGCTCTGGAATGATGAAGTGTCTCCAGTGTGGGAATAAACCCAGGGTTTTAGCGGCTCCCACAGTGGTGGGTTGGTTTCACTGAGTTTTAGATCCAGGCAGTGACTAAGGCAAAAGCTGGGAAGAGATTTAAGTGGCTGTGAGGAAATGGCAGTATTTTTTTAAAATAGTGCATGTGGCTTTGTTTTGGGGAAAATATGTTCTATGGTGACTTGAGTCTTAACTGGGACAGGCTAATTCCTCAGTGAAGAAATCCTTCTCCTAGGGAAGGAAAGGCACAGGGCCGGAGCTGGTTAATTACATTTTGTAAAATTAGGGAGTGACTGCTTTCTGAGGAGGTCTGCCCCTCTTCCTGCCCTGTACCTGAATTTCAGGCTCAGCAGTTGCCTTACGGATTGAAATTCCTCCTGGGTATTAAGATTTAATGGTGGTAGACACAGAGCAAGTAGTGGCAGGTACTGCTGCTTTTCAGTACAGCAAAGCAAATAATACTGGAAAATATTTACATGGGGGTTGTTATTCTCCTCGTATTTCCTTGATGAGCTCTAGTAAAGGTGCTTGTGTGCTCCTTCCATTGCCGGGGAGAATTCCCTGTATTTCGGTTGTAAAAGGCTGCGGAGAGGAACCGGTGTCTCCATAGCAAAGATTCCAGTGTTTCGTGATCAGCTCACATATATTTTTACCCCATCTAATTTAAACCAGTCTGCACGACACTCACAGGAATGATTTGTATGCAGCTTTTAAATATTTTCCTCCTTCCTGCGTGAGGGATTAGCGGCACAGAGCTGCTTTTTCGGAGGGTTCTCAGCCAAGTGTTACGTAATTTGTGTGCCACCGATGCACGGCCATAAAAAATACTCCCATCAATGTTAAGGGAAAGCTTGTGTAGGCAATTATTTCAAATCACAAGCGTCCTAAGCAGGTTTGTGCAGCCTTAAAATCTGGGCAAAACGCTGCCTTTGGAATCCTGCTGGGAAGGGGGGTGGGAAGCTGTCAGCGCCCGTGGTCTGGAGGCTGGTTTTGAGCACATTCTACTCCACTTTTTAAGCTTTCCTCTGTGAGAACTGCTGTTTTCTGGTGTATTTTCTCAGGCAACTGTTGGGTATTTAAAACTCCTAATTTCTCTGAGTCTGGGTGGTGGTGCTTCAGCTGAGGCTGCTTATGGGTGATGCCAATTTGTAATCTTCTACGAGAGTAAGGGGGGGAAAGAAAAAGTAAAAAGAAGCTTAAATGCTAATAACAGTGAAAAATCTGCTCGGCGTGGAGCACATGTGAAGAGAGCTGGTGCACGCCGGGCTGTGGAGTCTCCATCAGCTGAGCTGGGGGCTTTTAGAAATCTGCTCTAATTTTTATGCTGCATGTGGAATGGCTAATCCCATAAAAGCCTCGCACCTTTTGACAGATGAAACGCTGCTGTTCTTCACTTATTTGAGCAAAATATTTTTATAGATGGTATTAGCTCTGTGGCTCCGAGGGTAATGCAGTCCTTACACGAGAAAGATCTTGCTTTGATCTGACAGCTTTCAAGATCCATTTCCAATCTTGGAGTTCCATTAAGTCTGTTTGTAATGGTGCCCTCAGACTTTTTTTCTGTTTATGTGACTCTCTGGGTGTTAATGTTGCTCTATATTTGAGTTTTCTTTAATAAACTGAAGGAATAATTGGGGTCAGGAAAGGAAATAATCATGTTAGAAGGTGCAGTTAATTATATCAGATATTTTGGGCTCCAGAATTCTTTTGTCTTGATTCCAATGTTTTCTTCAAGTTGTAGGATGTAGTGAAATGATCAGATCATCAAACTAGGACAGTGAGGCAGGGTGGTGTGTGGTGGTTGATTTCGGGAGTGTGAAACAAGCGTGGCTGCAGGCTTGATGTCCATGAGGGTTGTGGAGGGAGGATAGGAGGGATGGTTTCTCTGGTGAGCAGCTCTTTCCCTCTTCTGTGGGGGAAGAGGTGGTCTTCTGTGTGGCCTGGTCTTCATCCAATGGGATCTACATGGTCCTGTGTCCATCCAACATGATTTAAGTGATCTTGTGTCCATCCAATATGATTTAAGTGATCTTGTGTCCATCCAACATGATTTAAATGATCTTGAGTCCATCCTACATCACCTACATTGTCTTGTCTCCATTCAGTGGAACCTTTGTGTCCATCCAGCATGATTGTTTTGGTTCTGTGTCTGTCCAGTGGGGTCTTTGTGGTCCTGTGTCCATCCAGCATGTTCTGTTTGGTCCTGTGTCCATCCAGCACGGTCCTGCTGGTTGTGTGTACATCCAGTGGGATCTCCATGGCCCTGTGTCCATCCAACATGATGTAAATGATCTTGTGTCCGTCCAACATGATTTAAATGATCTTGTGTCCATCCTACATCACCTACGTGGGATCTACATGGTCC